GCTGGCGATCGGGGCCATGGGGCCACAGGAGTTTGGTCGGGGGGAGGGACCCCAGGAGGTTGGCTAGTGGGGGGCTGGGGGGGGAGGGGCTGCAGGAGGTTGGCCGGCCTGGGGGGGGGCGGGGCACAGGAGGTTGGCTGTGGAAGTGCACTGACCACCAGGGGACAGCTCCTGCATTGAGCATCTGCCCCCTGGTGGTCAATGCGCATCATAGTGACTGGTCAACCGGTTATTCCAGTTGTTCGGTCACAACAGTCACTTAGGCTTTTATATATATAGATTACTAGAGGCCCGGGGCACAAAATTCATGCACTCAGGGGGTCCCTCAGCCCAGCCTGTGCCCTCTCACAGTCTGGGAGCCCTTGGGGGATGTCCGACTGACGGCTTAGGCCTGCTCCCCGGGAGCTAGGCTCAGCCAGAAGCTAGGCTCATGGCTGGCAAGCGTAGTGTCGGTGGCGGGAGCCACACTCAAGGGGCCAAAAAGCCACATGTGGCTTGCGAGCCACAGTTTGCCGACCACTGGTATATACTAATGAGAATGTTATATCCATAAAACCTAAGAAAGAAATTGATCAAATTGGTATATTTGATCTTTGCACACTCAATGAAATGCATCTATAAAAAGACATTATGATCCATTCCCACTTCATTTACTTTCATGGGATTTGAATGGCCAGTGAAACTGCAACATTTTTTGATATTTATATTATGTATTCAAACCCTAAATAGTTCTAAGAACATAGGGAAGCAGTGTACATTTATTTAACACTAAAGGAATAAATGTCCCTTAAATTCTCTTAATTTTTTATTTAATGTTATAGTTAACAAAGGTTCTTAAGAACTCCTTACACATAGAATACCTATAGCTGGGGCCCAGTGCATGAATTCATGCACCTTGTAAAGATCTGTGGGTCGTGAGGCTGTGGTGGGCACAGGGGCGGGTCTCGGCCCATCCTCCACGCCCCTGCCTGGCCCCTCTTGCCATGGCCCCTGGTCCCCTGTGTGCCGGCAGCCCTGCTCCTGCCGCCGCCCCTCCCGTGCGCTAACGGCGCCAGCCCCGCTCGCACCCGCTGATGGTGTGGAGCAATTGGGGCCAGCACTGGCAGTGGGTGTGAGAGGCGGCTGCTGGCCCTGATCACCCCTTAGGAGCAGGGGAAGGTAGAGAAGCCCTGAGGAGCGATGGGGGCTAGCAGCCACTGCTCATACCCACTGTTGGTGCGAGCGGAGGCTCCAGTGTCAGCAGCGTGTGCAAGCGGGACCAGCGCTGGCAGCAGGTGCGAGCTCTAGGCGGAACTGCGGCACCGCGTGGGAACAAAGAATTTTGAGTAACCACCAGAGGCTTGCCCCAATGACAGCAACTGGCGCCCCGCACTGCCTTGGTCTGGCGCCCTCGCTCACCTCCACCACCCCGCCACAGCCGACGCCCGCCATGTTCTGCACACGCCCCCTGGTGGTCAGCGCATGTGATAGCCACCGGTTGTTTGGTTGTTCTGCCGTTTGGTCTATTTGCATACTAGGGTTTTATAGATAGATGATAGATAGATAGATAGATAGATAGATAGATAGATAGATAGATATAATTGACCCAGTTTTTTTATTTGTTTTTTTTAAATAATTGATTACAAGTGCA